CGTTGCTATGGTTCCTCAGCTTGATGGCAGGGGGGTTGGGTTTGGGTAAATGCCAGAGGGGTCCGTGGGGGTGCACATGTTTAATGCCTTAAGTTGCTAACTGAAGGTTGCCAGTTCGAGTCCACCAAGAGACACCTCGGGCGAAAGGCCTCGGGATCAACTTCCAAGAAGTCAACCATTGAAAACCCTGGGGAACAGAGTTCTGTGCAGACACATGTAGGGCTGCCACCAGTCAAAGCAGATCTGACAGGAGCTGGGTAGTTTTGTTTGTTTGATTTTCCTTAGATTATGATTTGAGTTAATGGTAGATTGGAGGGAAGTCTATACTTTCTTCCCTGAAGCCAGTTGGCCGACTCCATGGATTTCTTGTAGATAAGTTCAATACCAGGCAATTTCCTTAGTCATCCTTGGAGTTGTGTACTATCCCTGTTCCTGCTTGGTCAGGAGTAATTGTAGTTTTGTTTTTTCTGATGTTGGCCGCTACAGATCTTAACTAGCTCTAGCAAGGCCAACGCATGCATTTTAAAGAGTAATGAAGGAATGAACACCATTTTAGATTTCGTGGGGTTGGATGAGTTGTTGATCAAATAATTATTATTGTTGTTAGGGACTGCCAAATGTGGTTCCAGGTCACAGTGTTGTTGTTGTTAGATGTCATCTACTTAATTCCTACTCATAGCGACCCTATGCATGACAGAGCGAAACACTGCCTGGTTCTGTACCCTCCTTACAACTGTGGTTATGTGCATGCTCATTGTTGGGGTCACTGTGCCAGGCTGTCTCTTTGAGGGTCTTCTTTGATGGCTCTCTAAATTTGTCGAACATAATGTCCTTCTCTAGGGACTGGCCTCTCCAGATAACCTGTCCAGAGTGTAAGCGAGAAAGTCTTAACCATCCTCACTTCTAAGGCGCATTCTTACTATCCTTCCTCCAAGACAGGTGTGTTTCTCCTTCGGGCAGGCCATGGTACTTTCCATCCTCGTCACCAGCACCATCATTCACATGCATCCATTGGCTGCAGCCTTCCTTATTCATTGCCAACTTTCAGATGCAGATTAGGTCATTGAAATACCATGGCCTGGGTCAAGCATCCTTCAGTTCTCAAAATGCCATCTTTGCCCTTCAGTCCTTTAAAGATGTCTTGTGCAGTAGAGTTGCCCAATATGTTGTTTGATTTCTTGACTGTTGCTTCCATGAGCATTGATTGTGGACCCTCGCAAAATGGAATCCTAGACAACTTCAGTCTTGTCTCTTTGTATCACGATGTTATCTGTCGGTCTACTTATGAAGGTTTGGGTTGTAATCCATGCTGATGGCTGCAGTCCTTGATTTTCATCAGCAAGGGCTTCAAGTCCTTAATAGTGCAAAAGACTATTTATTATATATAATATCATAACAAGGGTTCTTTGGGGATAAGGTGGGGGAGGGTGGTGATAAAGGGGAACTGATACCAAAGAGTGCAGGAAGAGAGAAAATGTTTTGAAAATGATGTTGTCAATGATTGTCTAATCATGTTTGATCTAATTGAATTATGGATTGTTAAAATATCTGTCGAGCTTCCAAGAAAATGGGGTGGGGGTGGGGGGGAACAGTGCAAAAGGCTTACTGTGCACTTTATCTGGGGCCCTAGGAGATAAGAGACATTTCCTCACACACCTCAGAGCCAGTCTGCCGAGGGTCCAGTTAAGCTGTTGCCGTCAGGTCAGATTGGACTCGTGGCTTATGGTGACCCTGTGTTTGCCAGCGTAGGGCTCAGTGCTCCCGACGGTTTTCAGTGGCTGATCTGGGGAGAAGTAGGTTGTCAGGCCTTTTTTCCGAGATACCTCGGGTAGGTTCCGACCTGGGATCTTCCACTTAGCAGCTGAGCACATTGAATTTTTGCACCACGCAGGGACTCAACCCAGGGTAGAGGACTGTGCATCGCGGTTTCCTGAACGGAGCCTCTCCAGTTTTCCTTCTTATGTTCTGGGAAAAACTCTGTGAAGAAGAGGACCCCCACCCTCACCCCTTTTGTCTCTACAGGCAGCCTAGAAAGTGAAAGGCAGCCCTTAGACTTTCAAAGGGTGGAGCCTGTGGTGCTCCGCAGCCTTGGGGACAGCCTCTTTGGGGGTGTCACAAAATGCCCCCTGACTTGGGAGCTTCTGAGAAGTTGGTTCTGATCGCAACTGAGCCACCGTATGTGTGACACGCAGCAAGTTCCTTGCTTTATCAGGCAGTCTGTGCTGCTAATAAAACCTCCTTCATAGACTTGGTTCTGGAAACCGAATAAAATAATCTACTGGAAAAGCCTGGAGCTGTGCCCAGAAGCTTAATCCATGAGCGTTTTATCCCTTCCACATGATTTGGCTTGGTTGGCAGGAAGTGGATTCCCATCACAAACATTTAACTTTGGTGAACTTGCTGAGAGAGTGAGGAGGGAATGGGATGATCACTTCATCAGGCGATTCTGCCCTTGCTGCTTCTCAGTGCAAATCGGCCTTTGCCGGAGCATGAGGTGGAAGGTAAATGTGCTGAGCCCTCGTCAGTCACAGCTCCCCCTTGCCGTCTCACCTCCCGTGTGCAGGGTCATGCAGGAGTGATGTGGAATCTGCTTGGATTTAGGCTCCCCCCTACTGAAGCAAGGACTTCATTTCTCCCTCAGAGCATCTGGTGGGTTTGAACAGGCTGGTAACCGCCATATTGGAAGCACAGCTCCCCGCAGGCCATCGGACAGCGGTGCGAAGGATGGCTGCTTTAACGCCCTTCGTCCCATAGAACTGTGTGCACATTTCATTAGGAGATACTCTGCCTTGTCTTCTCGAGCTGCCCTTTGAAACCCGTCAGCTCGTTGGCGTCATCATTTCTCCCTTTTGCTTGAGCTAGTCGACAGTCAGGGGCAAGTAGCAAGTCTTCCGGACATCCCATTTGGTCTTTCTTCCCTGGCTTTGTAAGGACTCGTGCTTTCCGCCTGTGTGATGTTCTTGACTTCGCCCCGCAGCTGTCGGGTCTTCAGTCATTCGTGTTCAGTGCCTCACAGCTGTTCTCGAGATGGTCTCTAAATCCAGGTTGGGTGTGTTTTAAACCGTGCTTGGGCTCTCTTGGACTTTTTTTGATTTGCTTCAGCTTCCATTTGAATTGGTGTGAGCTCAAGGGTGATCGGTACAATGTTTTTTTCTCTTCTGCATGTGGTCGCTATGAGTCGGAGCTAACATTCAGTAAAAATGTTTAACTTACACTATGCAATGAGCACTAGGAATACAGGAACCAGACAGTAAGCCCTGGGAACACAGATGTGACTGTGACAGGTCTAGATCCTTGTTGAAAACTAAGGCTCCTGGGTCTGCCCGGAATTTGAGGTGTGCTCTGGGGTCTACGCCGATTAGTAGACTACCTGCATGAATCTTACACTCACTGCAGTGTGACACCATTGTGTGACATCAAGGTCTGGGCCAGTGGGGACTGAAGACAGCATGACGAGGTAGGAGACGCTGTGCTCAAGCTGGGCTTTGTCAGTCACGTTGTGCCGGAGAAGGACCGTGAGGGTCCCTGATGATCATGAATAGCTATTAGGATCCGAAGTCACCTTCAAGGTGACTGGGAGAATTTTTGTTTTTTTTTAAGTGATGGAGATTTTCTGTGTCTTGCAGGCATCAAAGTCCTTATACTCATTTCGATATTGTACTAGAGTTTTACAAGATTTTCTCGCTAGAGGAAACTAGGTAAAAGGTGGATGAGATCTTTCTGTATTATTTCTTACAATTGCACGTGACAAATCCATAAAAATCAAACATTTACTTCCTAAAAAAACAAAACAAATAAAAATAACTTCTCGCTTTCCCAAAGCATGGACATAACCAATTCCCTGAATCATAGTCATCTCTTCCCACAGACAGGCGCTCCCAGCAATCTGGGGCCAGGAGAGTGGCCCCTCTCTTGATCCCCACCCTAGTCTACACCCACCGACTGATAGAGCTGTGTCTTTCCCACCAGCCCTCCCATCATTCCCTAAAGTGAAGCAGTGGGAATTCTTTCTCTAGAAACACCGCTGACCTTTCCCAGCCCCGCAGAAGGCGAGAGGTTCGTTTGTGGGCCTCATTTGTGGCTAGCTCCGTGGTAGAGGGACTTCTTATCATTGTCGAGGCTTCCGCTTCAAGGGTGCTGGTGAATGAAAGGAACGTGTGCCAGGCTGCCCTCTTGCATCCCAAGGTCCCAACCACTCACGTCTGTGAGTTGATATCAAAGGGACTGGTGACCTCAATGCGATCCAGAAACTAGCAACACGCTCCTCTGGAAATAATTTGTACATGAACTTCTCCCCGTTTATAGTTACAAATATCACACACAGAGAGGCACTGAGCTGCCTCATATGCCAGGGAATCTTTTTCATAATTTGAAAAGTTAAAAATAACAGGAGTGGATATGTCAATATTCTTATCCCAAATGTGTGAACCTACCTGCCTTAGAGAGGCCTATGGATGGTGCAAGCAGTTAGATGCTTCCTTACTCACTCACCAGAAGGCTGGATGTTCAGATCCACCCCATGTGCCTTGGAAGAAAGACGTACTGGGCGATCTACTTCCCAAAGATCACAGCCGTTGAGAAACTGCGGAGCAGAATTCTACTCCTAAACACATGGAGTCGCCATAAATTGGAATCAACTCAATAGCGATGAGTTTTGTTCACCTGCCTTAGCATCCTTTCCCTCTATTACAGGGGTGTCAGACTGGCGGCCCCTGAGGTTATTTGTCGTGGCCCACGATGCTCTGAAATAAATTGAAAATAGAAAAAATTGTTATGAAGAAAATAGCACTTAGGGGAGATCGAGACAATACCGTACACACAATTCCCTCGTTACATTTTATTTCAGAGCATCGTGGGCCACAAAAAGTTAACCTTGGGGGCCGCCAGTTTGACACCGCTGCTCTATTACATCCCCATATAGTTTCTTATAGAAGGCTACCCTCACCCCCCCAACACACACACACCATTTGGGTTCTAGACACCACGCCCCATGCCTTTTTCGGTTGTTTCTTCAGCTTCAACCAGTCTAGGTCACACACATGATCTAGTGGCTCCTGTCATATACTCATCTGTGTCCCTCATCCTTATGTGCCACCTCACCGAAGAACATCCCATTGTTCATTCTCTCCATCATAGCTGCAGACCTTGGTGCCCAGTGCCTTCAGGTCTTCCCCTCCCCCTTCCATCCATTTTAGCATCTGCTCCACCACTTGATCACAGCCTACTTGTGTCAGGGTCACCAGCGACCTGGACTCAACAAAGACTCTTCTCAACCGGCTCGGTCTCCAAGTGGTATTCAGCCCAGAGGGTCATGCGCCCTGGCCATCGCCCTCTCCTCTGTGGGCTCCCAGGATTCCCCGTGCTCCTGGTTTTCCTCCCCCTCCACCCGCTGCTCCTTACTTATCCCGTGCTGCCTTTTCTTCCTCCTCCTCTCCTCTCAGCGATGGTTCTTCCGGGCTAAGTTCTACGCTCTCCATCTTAACCTAAGTCAGCGTTTGCTTTCAGTACCATCCACAGGCTGTGGTCCACGAAAATTCAATCTCCAGCTCAGTTTTATGTTTCTAGCTCTGGACTGAGAGCTGGAGTCACCTTCCGACTCCCTGAGTTGTCAAGCCATGTCTCTTGTCCGGAAAACGTGAGCAAATGATCTAAGACCCTTTCCTTTCCGCCTGAATACCCTCTCATCTTAGCAGGCAAAGAATGCATTCATCCATTGCTTTTGTTTTTTAAGTTGGAAGTCTCAGACTCACTTTTTACACTTTCTTTCATGCTCTTCATTCCAACCCATCAGCAAGTCCTGCTAGCTAACCAAAGGTACTCGATGCTAGACAACCTAGGCAAGATGAATGGGTGCTCAGGTTGAGCTCGCAGGGGGCGAATTAATCTAGAGCCCTTGTTCACTGATTTAAAATTAGGTAGAGGAGGGAGTCAGGGCTGTGCACGCAGGACATTGCAAACATCTGGGAGTCCTTTTGTTGTTTAGGTGAGCTTAATGACCGGTGCTAGGTTCCATCTTTAATCACATACAATTTTAGTTCATTAGACTTCCTTTTGGGCAGTTGGTATCCATAGCAACCCTAAAATCCACAGGCCACTATGAAACTGATCTACTCATTACTGAGTAATCAAACCAGATCCTGCAACCAAAAAGTAGGATAATCCAAATCCTCACTCCTTACACACACACACACACACACACACACACACACACACACAATGGGAGCTCATCGTCTGGTAGCACTCTAGCGAAGACCGAATCTCTTTATTCTCAAGAAATAACAACTTTATCTTTGCACTCGAAATGATGCTGGCCTCCGCTTCGGGGTGTAGCCTGTGTTTTAAAGGGGATCCCCAATCAACTAGCTGTGAGGTTCTCCCTGAGTCCTGGGGACTAGCAGTGAGCATCGCTGATGGCCTGCATGTCTGTCTTCCTCATGAAGGGGACTGGCTGCTACATCAAGCCAACCTTCATCTTCTGTTTTCCACTAGCAGCCCTTACCGCTGGGGGCTGGCCTTACACGGCAGTGGGAAGCTTGTTCCAGGCAGTGGGAAGCTTGTTCCAGGCAGTGGGAAGCTTGTTCCAGGCAGTGGTTCTCAACCTGTGGGTCGCGACCCCTTTGGGGGTAGAAACACCCTTTCACAGGGGTTACCCAATTCTCATAACAGTAGCAAAATTACAGTGATGAAGCTGCAACAAAAATCATTTTATGGTTGGGGGGGGTCACCAGAACATGAGGAACTGTATTAAAGGTCTGCGGCCTTAGGAAGGTTGAGAATCACTGTTCCAGAGTCTCAGAGACTGTAGTTGGCCAGACTAGGAGCTGCTTTATCCACTCTGAAATCTGTCCCCTTCAACACAGCTGGAAGGATCTCTGAAGCCAAGCAAAGCACACTGTAGAGCCTGCCCACCCCCAAAGTGTCCTCTCAAAGGTAGTCTCGTGTGTCGGCTCCCCCTCTGGTGAGCCCCTGAATCCCTTTGAAAAAGGAGGGGCCCACGATCAAGGCAATGGGAAATCTTTACACCGGGCACTTTCTTCTGCCGTGCATCTTTTATACCTTCAGGTTAGCCAGCTGGTCTTCCCTGTGCTTACAGAAGAGGCTATGGTTTCAGTTGGTAAACTCAAAGCAGTTCTCCATGATTTCATCCTGCTTATATGACTTTATTCCACTTCAGGACCATACCAGTAACAGCCAGTAGGTCAATAATTCAGTGTCGGAAAACTAGTTACTGAGCAGTAAGATGGTTTTCTCAAAGCTGCCCTAGAAGCTGCAGCTTCCCCTCTGCCTTCCTATAGGTCAAATGATAGTCTACCCACTGCTGTCAGGTTGACAGCTACTCACAGCAACCCTGTAAGCCTAAGTAGAGCTGCCTTTGTGGCTGGAGGTGTTCCCGGGAGCAGAGTCTCATCTTTCTCCCATGGAGCGGCTGGCGGGTAAGTTTGAACTGCTGGCATTGTGATTGGAAGCCCAGTGAGCAACTCACTATGCCACCAGGGCGCCTTAAGCCAAAGCTAGGTGCCCCTCTACTGCAGACTTTTCTGCACCTGGTCTACAGGTGGGAAAGAATAACAGCATGGTCCTTAAAGCATCTTTGGCTTACCCACAGGGCTATGTGATTAAAAGGTTCTCCTAGATATGTTTAGAACATTCTATCCAAGAGGAGCATAGAAGAGATTCCCAGTGACCACATGTCAAGGTAGAGAAATGCCATTTCCTGTGATGGGATGCTTTTCAATCTTCTGAATTATCATTCAACAGAGGTGACAAGTATTGTAAACTCAAAGTATCCCACTCGCTCACCCCTGCCCAAAGCAGCCCCAAGACGTAAAGGTGAGCCCTTCAGACTCTGAAGAACATGAATTAAAAACCACAAACCCAGCCCTTTATTTGATTAGCATGAAAGCTGAGTCCTGCAAATGAGCTTTGTAAAGTCTCACAGGAAGTCAGGAAAATGAGCTCAGAACATGTATGGCAGGGCTGGGTACGTCTCACACTGTCCACCCAGTCAGGTGGACCTGCAGGGCCCAGGGAGCCTCTATCCCTGCCCCAACCAGCTGGGTCCGCTGGAGCAGGCGGAAAGAGGGGCAACAGTGAGGTTCATGTGACCAGCCTCTTGCGTAGCATCATGACGGCTCTCGTTGCAAGGAGACTTTTGACAAATAATACCCGGCTGTCTCTCAGGACGTGTGCTTTCTGGGAAGGAGTCCCTGGGTGGCACAGACAGCTAAGCACTCAGCCATTCCCCCAAAGGTTGGCAGTTTTGAGCCAAGCTAAAGGCTCCTCGGAAGATCTGCTTCCGAAAGGTCAGAGTCTGGACAGCCGTCTGGGGAGCGGTTTTGCTCTGCCTTTGGGGGGCTGCCGGGGGTCGGGCTTGATGGCGACCGGCTCCCAGCAGCATGCTTCTTCAAGCATTCCTCCACCTCCTCTCTCCCCGTGTCATCCCCTGCAGAGTACCTCCGGAGCATCTCCCTGCCGGTCCCCGTGCTGGTCGAGGACACCAGCAGCAGCAGTGAGTACGGCTCGGTCTCCCCCGACACGGAGTTAAAGGTGGACCCCTTCTCTTTCAAAACAAGGCCCAAGTCCTGCGGCGAGAAGGACGCTAAAGGAATCCGGACGCTCTTTTTGGGGTAACGGCCGGCTCCTTGTGCGTGAAAGACGGTGGTTGCTAAACGGGCCTTTTCACGTGGGGCGCTGGGCCTGATGCCACCTACCTTTATTGCAGCATTCCAGATGAAAATTTCGAAGATCACAGCGCCCCACCGTCCCCGGAGGAAAAAGATACCGGATTCTTCCTGCTGAGGAAGGACAGTGAGAGGAGAGCCACCCTGCACCGGATCCTAACAGAAGATCAGGACAAAGTCGTGAGAAACCTCATGGAATCGTTAGCTCAGGTGACAGCTCGCTCAGACACTCCATGGCCAGTCGCTGGCGTGTTTTTGTAACGGCCTAGTAACCACCTGGCATTAATATAACCACATTTTGAGAGGCCGGAGGCCGGGATGCGCAGATGGGAAAACGCAGAGTTGGGGTCTGGGGAGTCAAATCCCTAACTGAGAAACCGCGTCCAGGAACACGGGTTTCTGTTTCACATTTTTTAAGTCAGAAGCCAGCGTGGGGCATCAGGGAAGTTCCAGCTAGTCCCCCACAGTTGGAGTTGCAAGGCCAAATGACAGTCTAGCAACCAGGCCAGCCCTGGTGGGGAATCGTCCACGTCAGGGTTCTCTGTAAGGCTTGGTTGGTGCGCTTGCCTCCACTGTGCCCAGAAGCACCGGCAGAGCACTCACTATGCACCGGTCACTCCTGGGAGCCTTTGAGAAACCAGAGCCAGGGGGACAGAGAGCCTCATTGCTGTGGGGCTTCGTTAGGATGGCGGGGCACAGGCCAAACGCACACAGTATGATGAGTAAATGATGTAATTTGTTAACCATGAGGGCCAGGCGGGCAGACTCCCCCTCCCGTGGCACCATGCATGTCAGGGGAGAACTGTGCTCTGTGGGGTTGATGACTTCTTGGCAGCCCATCCATCCCCAGGCTTGGCTTTGCGGGACCTCTGGGCTGGACTCGACCACCATCTTTTTGGTTAGCGGCCGAACGCATTAGCCCTGTGCACCCCCCACTAGGTTAACTCAAAACTCGCTGCCACCAAGTTGATTCTGATTTGGAGCAACCCAGTAGACAGCGTGGAACTGCCCCTGTGGGTTTCTGAGACTCGAGCTCTCTATGGGGACAGAAAGCCTCATCTTTGGTGGTTTCTCTGGTGGCTTCAAACTGCTGGCCTTGTGGTTAGCAGTCCGGCACGTAGCTCACTACACCACCAGGGCTCTGCTTAGAAGGTTACAAGCATTGTGTGTGGTGGGGGGGGGGAGCCGGGGGGGTGGGAGCGAGGAGGCGGAGGGGAACAACAGGTGAGTGGACCTATGGCTCCCTGGGCAAATGAATTACAGATGTGCTCTGGTGTGCCATTGGGAAAGCAGTGGACTGCTAACCAGGTAGTTGGCCGTTCAAACCCCCCAGCTCCTCTTCAGGAGAAAGATGAGGCTGTCTGCTCTGCTCACCGTGAAGATGTGCAGCCCCGAAACCCTAGACAGGGTCCCTCTGAGTCCACATCAACCCGAGAGCAGTGGGTCTGGTCTGGGGGCACAGCTACTACAGAGATGCTGTCCCCAGCTCTGGGGCACTGAGAATCACTTCCGGGCCTGAGGCCCTCCTGCCATCACCCTGCCCAGAGAGCCTCTATCCCAGCATTCCTGGCCTTTCTCTTTGGGGCCCAGCTGTTGCTGCCGGTCCCTGCAGACTGCACACAGCTTCTTCCCTCCCTCTGCCCCGGGAAGACAGCTGCTGCGACAGGGAGCGAGCCGGAGGGGCGGGGCGGGGCTCTTCTGACTGCCCACTCGTCTCAGCTTCCACTGTTCTCTTATTGGACAGCCTGGCTTGCTGGTTTTGAGAATCCCATGAAGCTTCTTGGTTCCCTTGTGAGCCTGGCATGCAGTTCTGTCGCATAAGGAGTTCTCGACATACCCTGATTTAGATTATGTAGAAAGAGCCAAGCGGCCATCCTTGTGCCACTCTGACGGCTGGCCGGGAGCCGCAAGGAGCAGCCCCTCTTTATTGGGAGAGTGCTGAGTCAGTCCTATAGGGAGCTGACCTGCGTAGCTATTCTGCAGCCCAGGGTTCCGAAAAGAGGGCACAGTGACACCCCAGGAGGCTGCCCCAGAGGCGTGGGAGAGGTCTGAGGGGAGGTAGCCCTTGGGCAGCCAATCCCGTTCCTTCACTCATTGACAGCTTACTTTCTAACGTATCAGGCCCTGTTTTGTGGACTATACTACAGTGAACCAAATTTCATCCCCAAAATCTGCATCCTGTTAAGGTCAGCATTCTAGTGTCAGAAGAATAACAATCAACGATCAGTCACATATATAATGACGCTCCCAGGTGTCAACGCTGCACTGCCTATGTGGTGACAAGCACTGGGGGACTTGAAGCATAGAAACGTCCAGGGCAAGTGTGTGTGGGAAGGAGAAGCGAATGGCAGTAGGCACTGCATGGGGAGGGCACGTTCGATGGACACTAGTGTAGGCTGCCTGGTGTGGTACTGTGATTTACTTGATTTTCCCCCTAGCCAATCATTGTAACTCCCTGTAAGACAAAGTAGAACTGCCCCTGTGGGTTTTGGGAGGCTGTAAGTGCTCACAGGAGCAGAGAGTCTCATCTTCCTCCCTGGAGTGGCTGGTGGGTTTGAACTGCGGGCATTGTGATTACCAGCCCAGTGAGTACCCCCCTCTGCCACGAGGGCTCCTGAAATCAAAGCTAGGAACTTCACTCTAGACTAAGGTGACCAGATTTTGACATTGGTACAGTGGGACACCATTGATAAAACTCATATCCTGGTGAAATAGCCACATGGCAGCTGAAAACCACGTGCCCTAGCTTGTCGTGCATTCTTTCCAAAAATCGGGACTTTTTGAAAATGCTGTGGGATGCGGGAAAAATTGTTAAAAATTGGGACTGTCCCGCCAAAAGCGGGACAACTGGTCACCTTACTCTAGACTCTGCCACAGACTTCCTGCACCTGGCCTATAGGTGGGATAGAATCATAGCATCATCATCCACAGCATCTTTTATAAAACCAGTATTTTACCCCCTCAGCTCTATGATTAAGGGCTCTCCTAATATGTTTAGAAAAGTCTTTCCCAGACTGAGCAGCATGGGGGAGATTTCCAGTGACAGCAACGGTCACTGGAATATATATCGTCAGAAATGCCAATTCCTGCTGTGTAATGGGATATCCTTTTTAATCTTCTGAATGACTACTTAAAGCATACTTCAGTGAGTTCCCTATAAAAGGAGAAATGAAAGAAAGTCTTAAAATTAACTGTTAATTTGCACACAAAAAAGGAAGGAAGGAAGAAAGAAAAAGAGCCACCAGCAGGGAACTGTCAACCGGAAGCTGCCGGTCAGAGTGGGTGTTAAATCCAGATTCATTGAGTGGTGGCGAGGGTCCTTCTGTTCAGGGCATTCTGAGTCTCTTTCTGTGACGGACGCCACACCACACTTTCGTGCTGGAGGAGGAGCTGGGATTCAGGTGGCCACTGGCCATTGTCCCTCATTGAATAGAATGGTTAGGAGTCGGACTTCCCCTTCAACTTGCCTTTGCTTGAAGTCTGGTTCTACCACTTGAAGGCATAGTGCTTTGAGCAAGTCAGTTACCTTCTCTGAGCTTGAGCTGCTTCATCTATAAAGCAAGGGTACCCTCCACCTGGTGGCTATCAGGAGGATCATTGTTTTTCAATGCTGCTGTGGTAGAATTACTACCAGTGGAAGGCTTTAACCAACAGGAATTTCTCCTACAATGTAGGAGCCTGGAAGCCTGAGATTAGGGCAGGGAAGTCTCTCTCTGTGTGCCAGCGTCTGTGGGAAGACCCTTGGCGATCTGCATGTGGCCTGGCCTCCTTTATTCTGTGTCTCATCTGTCCCTTATGTGTTCCAGAACGGTTGGCTGAAGATACACTCAACACTGATAAAGCCTCCTGAACACAAAACTGTCTATCCCCAGCTAGGATTCTAGCTCGTGGATAGGGGTTGGGATTTACAACAGCTACTTTGGAAGGCCACCGTTCCATCCTTAACCAGGAGTACTTAATACCATGAGCGACTGTGATCAGAGAAGAAAACATGCCACCAACATGGACTCTTATTAGAGCTCATATTTTTATCAAACAGGCTAATCATTATCTAGTATCTTCCCCCCCTCCCCCACAACCAGATAGAAACAATTCATTCCATTGCAGTATTAAATATTTCTAGCTATAGCTTTACATTAAAGCCTGCTCGTCATCACACAGCCAAGGTGGACACGTTGGTCCATCTCTCAAGCTATCCCACAGACACCCTTTGAATCTGTCACCCTCCTGGAATCCACTCATCGTTGCTCAGGGCGTTTAAGCTCTGACTGCTATTCTGTCAGCTCAGCAAAGGTGCTGGCTGAGTTACCTAGTGCAGCTGTAACAAGTAGTGTCAGTGAGTGGCTTTTAAGAACAGAAATTTATTTCCTCCCAGTTCAGGAGGCTGCAAGTCTGAATTCCGGGTATGGCTTAGGGGAGTAGGCCTTCCTGGTTGATTTCAGCTTCTGTTTGCTGTCAGCAACCCTGACCCTCCCTGGACTTGGGGCCCATCATCTAAGTCACCTGCCTTCCTCTCTCTTCCGTGTGCCTCCGCATCTGTTCTGCTCTTTTCATTACACAGGCGCGATTAGGTTTAGAACCCACCCTATTCTCAGGTGACCTCGCCTCTGTAACAAAGGGAAACCGCTGTTTGTTGAAAGGATTGATTTATAGGCCTTGGAGTTAGGATTCCAACATCTATGTTGAGGGACACACTTCAGCCCCTAGCAGGTGCCCTGGAAAATGTACCTTCTGTTACTGCTCCAGCCTCTCCGGGTA